ACGATCAATTCATAAAAAGTGCGACATTTGTCTATAGCATTTAAAGGTGAAAACATATGCCTACTCTTTCAAGGATGAGACGAATGAAATCAATATTGTTCACCCCATATTGATCATTTCATAGCAAATTATTTTAAAATACTTTTCTCTAACATTCCTTTTCACACATATTTCACAGTATTTATTGAAAATGTGTTTCACCCACTCTCAAGGAGTTTGTTGGCTTGAAGGTTTGATGAATGGTTATGAGTATTTACACTGAAAATTGTAAGTTTCCTTACTATGAATTTAGATACATGAGAATCGTCTACATCAAACACAAGTCGTTGTATCTTCGACTACTTTGACACATCCCCAGAAATGTAATTAAATTATGCTACACTTTTACCACTCCAGCTATTGTACGAGTTCTTGAATCCCATCCATTTCACATAAAGTTTGTTACTACTTTCATTTCAAAGCATTTTCCGAGATATGCATCCGGTTGTTTGACTTTCTGCAGTTCCCTTTGATAGATGGAAACTACCTACTATATTTTCACTATTTCATCATTTAATGAATGTGTTGTAGGATTTTCAAACTGTATTTTCCTTATTGGAAAAAAAGTCACTTGAGCGGTTGTCAAGAATATTTCGATGTGTACTTATTCGTACGTGATCTCCACTGAAAACCATTTTATTTTGTTTACGATTTCAGTATGACCATAAGCAGCTTTTAAAATTACTTGTTCTTTTTCTTGTTTTCATGTAAAACTTTTATTTCTACTTCCCGAGCGTAAGCTAATGTAATCGGGTCCATTGGGCGACTGGCACTTTCACGTATTCTCGACGTTTCATGACCGCTGGAATACGAACAAATAGGTGTCTCGTTTCCGTTTGTATCTGTCTGTCTGTTTGTCTGCCGTCTATCCAGATTTCATTAAACAGAAATTCTCCGAAACTACTGTACTAATTGTTGCCAAATTTTATATGTATGTTAGGACTATCGCGTAAATGGTAAAACGCAAATCAGTATCCTACCGATAATGTAATGACATCCCCTCCAATTTTTTCGTAGTAAGTAGGGTTTAAGTAATAAAAAAACATGGTCCGATACCTGTTTATGAATTCGTCTTAAGATTTTAGGCATCTAATTTTTTGCAAAAGGTTGTATAGCAAACTTTTGACTAGCATTAGCAGACTTCCTACGAAATTCTTCATTAGCTTATCGCGTAAATTATTCGCCTCGAAAACTGCGCACCTCCGAATTTGACATAGGGTGTTTTGTTTCTTACACTGTTACTATATTTTTTTATTGATCAAATCTCATGAACGCTACACCCCGGTTGATTGGGATATATTATTATCAAATGAGGTGTATATTTTTTTCAAAGGACTGTACGTCAATGGCAAAGGAGGTTTTGTAGAAATATCCCATTAAATTTTTTGTTTTTAATTTTAGTAGAATATATGGTATTCTTTTTACCAAAGCTTGTGTATACAGGTTGAGCTACTTATATAAATTCATCATATTCTGCACATTTATGATAGGGTTTATTTGGTAATTTTGAGATGACGCCATCCATTTTTTGGCGAGGATAAGCAAATACATTTTGTGCGTAGCTTTGAAAGTGGAATCTTCGACTTTCGTTGCATTTCGAAATTTACTCTTTATATATTTCAGTAGTCACAACGAGTTCACTAACTACACTGAAGTATGCAAAGTTTAAATTTGTCACCGAAAAGATGTCGGGAGTAATAAATTATCCTATCGGTCGAAGAACGTTCGGTCGGTGTTGTATCCCGAGACCCCGACCCAAGAGAGACCGCAGTATAAAAGACAGCAAATCGAACGGATAAAATAAAGCTTCAAACATGATCAATTTTAAACCAAAATTATAAAGTTTATAAATTCAGCATTTTTTTTTTTTTTGAAAATAGAGTAAACACCTCAAGAATGTCCGTGACTTATTTTAATGTGAATTTTATCACTATGGTCGACACAATCAGATTTAACAGTAGTACGATTTTGAGCATATTCTCGATTTTATTAGAGCAGAACAGGTCACTTTTTTTCTAATTTTGTAAGCAGGTTCCAACTAGTTGTCTTGTATTTTTGAAATAAAATCTACCGTAAATTCACTAAAATGACCTTAAGGTTTAACACACAAGTTGTTTTTTTTATGAAACACTATATATTTTTCACATTTTGACTGAGCTTTTCTTAGGCGTTACAACCCCAGTTTATTTTGGAAATTCCTACTGCCGCATTATTCCAATTTTTTTGAAATTCTTTGTAAAAAAGTCACATTTGGGTTATTTTAAAAATCTATCTTACAACATTTTCTATAAAGATAAAGAAATGTACGCCCTTTGATGTGATGTAAATGAGATTAAATTTTCTTATACAGGGTATTATAAAAAATGTTTTCATTATTACGATTTTCAAGTGTCGATATTTCAGTTTTTTAAAAATATTTAGGACACTATATTTTATTACTGCTTCTTACTCTATTTTTTGTTGATTTCTATATTTAAAGTTGATAAGTATTGTGATTTTTTAAGCTAAACGCACTTCACATAACTTCACCTAGTAAAACTTTTGACTTAAACGGCTTAAGCCAAACCACCCTTATAAGTCAAACTGGCTATTGTAAGCTTTATGGACCCGAACCGCAAGGATTATTACTATACATTTTAGCATAATGGAGCTGTAAAGTTTTACTAGGTATATGTCAACTGAGTTAAGTTATACAATAGCCAGTTTGTCCTATAAGGGTGGTTTGGCTTAAGCCGCTTAAGTCATAAAAGTTTTACTAGGTGTATGTCAAGTGAGTTTAACAGCCTTGGTCTTATTACTGTTCCTAGCTTGGCTTTTTTTGATATTAAGTTCGACTTCATCCTATTTTGTAAATTTTCTAACGTTCTACTCCCTTTAGTTAATCTTTTATCTATCTTCTTTTATGCATCTTCTTCATTCTTCACTGTTACCGTTACTCTTAGGTATTCGAAATTCGAATTGTTCTACACTCTGAAATACATTGTTTTTTTTTTCTTTTTCTGTCTTTATTTCTATATTCCTGTTTATTATGCTGCCAACTGTTTTCATACTTCAATCTTTCGTCTTGTTTTCGTTAATCATAAGACCGTATTCCTTTGAATCACTCTGCATTCTTTTAAATAAATTCACCAGTTCCGCTTTTGTTCTTGCTATTAATGTAACATCATCTGCATATGCTATTATTTGATGTTTGTTGTAAAAGATAACTGCTTAAGCTTGTATTCCACCTTCCCTCAAAATAGCTTCCAAAACAACATTAGAAAGTACTCTATTAAAGTTCTGTTCTTACTTATATAAAGGTTTGGATAGTCTACCATCAACGGTTTTATGTTTTTTCAACGTTTCATGACCCCTAGAGTACGAAAAAAGTGATTTACCGTTTCCGACTGTGTCTGTCTGTCTGTCTAGAGTCTGTGTCGATTGTTATTAGACACGTAGTCTCGAAACTATTGGACCGATTGTTGTCAAATTTTGGCAAAATTTCACTAAACATCCCCACCAACAATTTGTCATCTCAAAGAATTCTATTTTGTCATCTCAAACAATTCTATTTTAAAATAATTTAAAAGTCATTCCTATACTTGTGGTGTACGAATCCGCTTTGAGTTTTTCCCTAAACGTGCAAATTTTCGCAAAAACATTTGAAAAATATAATACCATTTTACTACTAACACGGGATATAAAGCTTCGTGGAGCTGTTAGTCATTTGAAAGAACGCCGACCTGAGGTCGCACGTTCGACGCTAAACTTTGGGGTTTCTTTTTGTTCTTTTGTGCTATGGCTAGTATTACCTATATTGATGACGTCATCATATTTTTTTTATAAAATTGGAAATGATAAATTAAGAATTATATTTTTCAGAACATTCTGTTCCAGTGTGGTTTAATTAATGACTTTAGCCGTCCTTTTTGAAGAGACCAACTCATTCCAATCAAATTAATTTATACATGATATTCTGTCGACGTATATACATAAACACTTGAACTTAAGCTAGTTATTAGTGCTGACAGACATTTTTCCCGTTAGTTATCTGCTTTAAATAAATCGAAAATCGCAAAATTAAATTTTAAAATTTTTTAAAGAAGCGGGATCTGTCGGTTATACTTCAATGGCGGGGGAAGTTCTGTAGAAATAACCTTCAACCATTTTTTATTCTGTCTATAGGGTTGTGCGCTTGTTTATTTATAATCAAGAAACAGTATAGTATATATAGTCTCAAATTTTGCAGTAAGTAGCTAATACTTTGAATTTGCTTTAAAGTAGATATCTGGTCTACAGTCTACAGTCTTTCTTGAAACCTCCTTGACACTTTTATTATATCATTTTGCTAATAAATTTAGTCTCTCCTATAACAGTAGAATAAGCGTTTGATATGTCACATCTACTACCTCTAGAGTTTTCGTAGTTGTTCTTTTTTTTCTTCTTGTAAACGGGGTGGATAGTTGCCTTTTCTAGGAGTTAGGCATCATTTCTTATTTTCAAATCTGTCCTACTAATATAGTGCAATTTTTTGCCTCAGTAGTTCTCCTTCTTTCAAAAATTCAGCTACAATTCAACTTTTTCTTGGACTTCTATTTTTTATGGTGTTCATAATTTCTTCTTCAGATGGTCCTTCTATTGCATTTCTGTCATCGACAATTGTTTCTGGTTCTATATTTGTCCCTTCCGAGCCGTAGTCGTCTTCATCCTCTACATTAAAAGCTGTTTAAAGTATTTGGCCCACATATTTGATTTTCCTTCTATTTCCTATTAATCCACCATCCTCATCCTTATTTTAACTTTTCCATAAACATTTCTGTAAATCTGTAACAATAACATTTTATGACGGGTTTTTCTAACGTTCGTTCGTGTTTCATCGTCGTTCTCTTGTTTATTTTTCGTTTTATATTTTGTATTTGATAAACATAATATACCAAAAAACATTTTGTTAAGTTTATTTGAATATATATTTTAAAAGACAATTATAATTCGTAAAACCATGCACTCGCTTGCATTCCTGTTGCATCTCTTCTGCCGTATCCGTCTCCTCGCGAGCCGTCTTGCATCATTTTAGGGGACATGCGCAGTGGTTCGTCACAGTCGGCCATGCTACCCTTAGTCTGCGTCCTCGCAGACCATAGTGAATGGTATTGAACTAGAACAGCACTTACATTACTTACAATACCTACTCAAATTATACATTACATCTAATGCAATATTTCCACTCAAAACTCAAGGACATCTGGGCCCTTTCGTTTCGTTTTTTTTCATACAAACCCATTACAGAAATACCATGGCCGTTTACCATGCATTTCATTCCACCAAGGCCGTTTACCTTGTGTTTCCTTTCACCAAGACCGTTTACCTTGTATTTCGTTTCACCAAGGCCGTTTACCTTATATTTCGTCTCACCAAGGCCGTTTACCTTGTATTTCGTTTCACCAAGGCCGTTTACCTTGTATTTCGTCTCACCAAGGCCGTTTACCTTGTATTTCGTCTCACCAAGGCCGTTTACCTTGTATTTCGTTTCACCAAGGCCGTTTACCTTGTATTTCGTCTCACCAAGGCCGTTTACCTTGTATTTCGTTTCACCAAGGCCGTTTACCTTGTATTTCGTCTCACCAAGGCCGTTTACCTTGTATTTCGTCTTACCAAGGCCGTTTACCTTGTATTTCGTTTCATCAAGGCCGTTTACCTTGTATTTCGTTTCACCAAGGCCGTTTACCTTGTATTTCGTTTCACCAAGGCCGTTTACCTTGTATTTCGTCTCACCAAGGCCGTTTACCTTGTATTTCGTCTTACCAAGGCCGTTTACCTTGTATTTCGTTTCATCAAGGCCGTTTACCTTGTATTTCGTTTCATCAAGGCCGTTTACCTTGTATTTAGCACTCTTCACTCATGGAAGATGTACTGTCGCTAAGTTGTTCCACACTGAACAACTTCATCTTGTCTATTGCACATACACCTTTGTATGGCTTTTGGGACCTACAAAACCCTGGCATGTCTTCAATGCAATATCGGTCATTAGGTAACTTCTTAGTTACAACAAATGGCCCTCTATATTTTGGCATACATTTGCGACTCTTACCATCATTTGTTAAAGCTGGAGATCGAATCAATACTTGTTCTCCTATTGCATATTCTCTAGGTCTCCTTCTACTTTTGTCAAACCTTTGTTTTTGTTTCTCCTGCTCATTTATCGTTTTTATGGCTGCCTCTTTTCGTATGTCATCTAAATCTCTGGAATTGTCGTTCGTGTCTATCTCATTTTACAGAAAAGCTTCACCAACCCCTCTTGGTCGATAACCAAAAAACAGTTCATAGGCACTTTTGCCTGTAGTCGCATTTATTGTATTATTAATGGCAAATCTTACCTTGGGAACCGTTTTGTCCCATTTTTCTTCGTCTGTCATGGATGCAGAGATTGAATTAAGAATCGTTTGATTATATCTTTCTACTTGGCCGTTTGTCCGTGGTGTTGCTGTTGCATTATATATTGTTTTGATTCCTAATCCTTTTGTATATTCAACGAATCGTTTGCTTGTAAATGCTGCGCCTCTATCGCAGATTATTCTACTTGGAACACCAAAAGTTTCGATGATTTCGTTCAAGAAATTGGTAGCAGGACCAACTTTCGTACTTTGTACAGCTTTCATAAACAGAAATTTTGTAAATGCATCTATGCCTACTATCAAGTATGAATTCTTTCTTCTAGTACTCACAAATGGACCAAGATGATCGATATGTAATGTTTCCATGGGTCGTTTACCCTTATCAATAGGATTCAAAAATCCAGGCTGCTGACCATGCGGCACTTTATTATATGTACAATTCAAGCACCCTCTTATATATCGTTTTATATAACGGCGCATAGATGGGAACCAATATAAGCTACTTACAGCCTCAAACGTTTTGTTGTCACCAAAATGGCCTTTCTCATCATGATTTTGAGATACTATTTGCCTTCGAGAATGTTTAGGTACAAGCCATCTCAACCCTTCATTCGTTTTCTTATAAATCCTATTATCTTGCAGTTGGTACTCGTCGTGAATTTGTTCTTCCTCTTTATCAACAGGCCTCCGTCTAAGCACATCGTTTATATACCTACATCTACTGTCTTGTAATTGAATTGCAAGTATCCAGTCGTCTGAAGTTATGTCCACGTTCAGGACGTTTATTTCTTCGTTTACTATAGCATTTCTGCTGAGAGCATCTACGTGTGCCATTTTCGCACCTGGTCTAAACTTTACGGTAAAATCATATTCTTGGAGTGCCAACCACCAGCGACCAATGCGTGGTAAAAGGTCTTTTTTCGTCATAGCAGTTCTTAAGGCATTACAGTCAGTGATTACTGTAAACTTCAACCCAATGAGGTAATTCCGAAACTGTTTCAGAGAACTCACTGCTGCTAATGTTTCCAACTCATAAGAATGATATCGTTGTTCCTCTTTTGTAGTTTGTCTACTGAAATACAGGACCGGATGCATTTCGTTATTAGATTGTCTTTGCATTAAAATGCCACCTAAACCCATTTTAGAAGCATCAGTGTGTACTTCGGTTTCGTCACTAGGATTATACAGTGCTAAGATTGGTCGTGTTATTAATCGTTGCTTTAACTCATCAAATGCACTTTGCTGACTTTTACCCCATTCAAATACTGCATTCTTTTTTGTCAATTGCGTCAGGGGTCTCACAATATTTGCAAATTCTTTAATGTACTTGCGGAAGTAACTCGCTAAACCAACAAACTGCCGAACTTGATGGACATTCGTTGGAATTGGAAATTCTTCGACTGCCTTAATCTTCCTTGAACCGGGTCGACTACCACTTTTGCTAATTTCATGACCCAGATAGTCAATTTTTCGTTTGAAAAAGTAGCATTTTGATAATCTTAGCGTTAATCCGGCCGTTTTGAGTACTTTGAAAACATTTCTCAATGTATCCACACCTTCTTCAAAACTTAATGATGGTACCAATATATAATCCATGTAGGCAAAAGCTTTTGTAAATCTCAATGGTCCTAGCACGTGATTTATCATTCTCTGGAAAACTGACGGAGCATTTACTAACCCAAATGGCATCTTCAGATACTCATAATGCCCGTCTGGTGTGATAAATGCTGTTTTTGCTATCGATTTCTCAGCTACCGGAATTTGGTGATACCCGGACGCCAGGTCTAAATTCGTGAAAAACTCGCAACCCGCTAGTTGATCTAAATGTTCATCGGTTCTTGGCAAGGGATACGTATCTTTTATTGTTTTTGCGTTCAGTGGCCTGTAATCGACATACATCCTCATCTCGCCCGTTTTCTTTTTCACTAATAAGATTCGGCTTGCATAAGGAGAGTGACTGTCACGTATAATGCCATTATCGAGCAGATCTTTCACAATATCTCTTACCTGTGATCGTTCAGCAAAAGATAATTTATATGGCGTAAACGACACTGGTTTGTCGTCTGCCAAATTAATTTCTAACTCTACGCCTGAGCCTTTCCCAAGCTGACTTGTCTCAATGGCAAAACAACCGCGATATTCATTTAAAAGGTCTAATAGCTTCTGCTTTTGGTCTGCTGTCAAATCAACGTTTATCTGGTCACTTATTTCAGATAAAACAAATGGTTTTAACATTTCCGTTCGTAATACAATACATTCTGGCTCGACTAGTGACTCCTCGTGACAACAGACTTGTCCCCGAGCAACCACTGTCGACGCTCGATATTCTATAGGATTTTCAGATACGTTAGTTATTGAAATTACCCCGACGTGTAATGATGTGATACAAGTATTTATAAAATGTTCCTTACTTGGTAAAAGCCGTGGTTGATCTTCCACAAAAGCAGCTCCACAGTTGGTGTCATCGTCACACTGGACCCGTACAAATCCAATGCTGTGTGGTGGAATAACAGTTGTTTCTTGACAATACAACGTCATCTTTTTCGGTGGTACAGCATCTAGGTTTATGTTCGAAAGTTCCTTACTAATGAGTCTCACGTCATCATCTTGAACTACTAAAGTTCGATTTTTGCCGTTTATAAATGTCTGGCCAACCAAGATGGGTACCGTTTGCACCTCATCATGAACCACGACAGTTTCTACTTTATCATGGACTAGATCCACTTTAAGATCTATCCAGACTTTTCCAATGGCCGAAGTATTGCCATTGCAGTACCCCCTTATAAGGTACGAACAAGGGTTCATAGTCAACCCCAAATCTTTAACAACACTATGTTTGATTATCACCATAGAACTTCCTGTGTCTATGTAACCACAGAATGTTTTTCCATTGATCTCACAATCAACATAGTAACACGTATTGCTACCATGCGGTTTTGTTCCCTTTTCGGAAGTATCAGTTACCAACGTTGTCGTACGTTTACGACATTCTGATGCTAAATGTCCCAAAAGTTTGCAATTCGTGCATTCCTTCTTGGGTTTAGGACACTTGCTCGAAAAATGTCCTGCCTCACCGCAGTTGAAACATTTCTTATGTTTCATGTCTCTTTTATCAGAATGTCCTTCGCGTTCGTTTGATGCCTTCCCTTTTGGATGGACATGTTCATTTGTTCGGCTAAAATGGTTGGGAAAACGTCTTTCACCCAAGCGACTCTTTATTTTAGGTTCGTATTTCCTGTAGGAATCTTTTTCGGTTAACGTCGTAAAGAACTCTGCGTATAGTGCTTCAGGAGTGCCGTATCTCCCTGCTTTGGCACCAGTTCGCACCACAACATCGTCTATGCCACCTATAATACATGCCACTGCGTTTTTCTCCGATATCTCGCATGCTGGTATCAATCCGACTTTATCGAAATAATATACTGCCCACGATTCATCAGGCTGTTTCTTCCGCTCGATCATCGTTTTTAATAAATGAGCAAAATCATTGTGTTCGGGGAAAGTCTTCATAAAAAGATCTTTCCACTCTGCCCACGTATGGTTGTAGTCCACAAGGTCATTATACCAATTTCGTGCAACTCCATCGAGACGATTATGCATGTGTTGAACAATGATTCGTTCGTCCCAATTATTAATTTCCGCTAATTGCTCGATTTTTGCAACCCATCTAGCTGCTGTTATCTTGCGATCTGCAGGATCAAATAACGGAATACAATCCGCTGCGGTCTTATATGAAATTGGTCTCTGCGGTACCGTATGCACCTGCGTTTCACTGGAAGTTGAAGCTAGACAACTTGTCAAATTTCTTACTGTTTCTTCCAGTTGACGTATGCGTTCATTTGACATTGTCGAAATTATAGTGTCGGTTACGATCGGCGTACTAGTGGAAACAATCGGATGCTTAGGCATCTTTTTTTGGTTTCGTTTATTCGGCGTTCACGTTTGAACGTGTCGGATGAGTCAGACTCTGATGACGAACTCGACGAGGACGTTTTAGTACGTCGGCGTTTACCCATAATGGCGCTATCCGCATAACAGCTGCGTATAGCAGTTGAATTCCCCGTTTAGGTTCAACTGTTAGTTACACAAAAAGTCAAACAAAATACTGGCCCGTATAGCCTGGCTTTAGTGCCCGTAAAGCACGAGTCAAAATTGCAATTGGTTGTCCGTATAACAAACCAATTCTTGCGCAGTAGTGTCTTGCACCACAATTCGTACTTCCACGGAATTCGTACGTACAATTGCACTACACCCTATCACTACACTGCACGTAAGACACATGGGGTATCCCGCCGCTGCTTTGTTAAGTTTATTTGAATATATATTTTAAAAGACAATTATAATTCGTAAAACCATGCACTCGCTTGCATTCCTGTTGCATCTCTTCTGCCGTATCCGTCTCCTCGCGAGCCGTCTTGCATCATTTTAGGGGACATGCGCAGTGGTTCGTCACAATTTTAAATTTTCTTAAGTCAGTTTTTCCAGATTTACGTATTTATTTTCTATAGCTTTATGTGATGCGGTACACTCAGGTCCTCAAATCGTGGCTGCATGTATTAAAATCGAAGATATCGCCCTAGTTGATGACATTCCAAGAACTCATTTACGATGGGAGTCGGCGGTGTTCCATCCTTTATTTTAAAAAACTGTGCCCAAATTTTTGCTTAACATCTGTATGTAATACACAACCTAGATTTTTCCTTTTCTATGGAAAAGGCTTACATCTGTGCAAACCGGTACAAAAAAGGTACTCAGAACGAGATCACGAAATACAGAGGAATTTCTCTGTCGTGTTACTTTGCCAAAGTGTTCGGAACCATTCCAAGTATATAATGATATTTATAATTCCACGAAACAATAATAGATATAATGAAACCAACACTTCATTCTATGCTTTTTGAAAATTGAAATAGATTGTGATTTTCTAGTTCGTTACGACAGAAACAATTTGTGAACAGATATAGAAATTTTGCGTACAGGTATTTTATTCCGTCTTCTAGCGTGCCTCAGGGTTCGAACTTGGACCCATTGTTATTTTTATTTTTCATCAATGATCTGACTGTTTCCCTTCAAGAAAAAGCCTACAAAACATATGGGTTCCTATAGTGAAATTGCAGGAGTATCTAAACCATCGCACTCTTTAAGCATTATTTCGCTCTCTAGTTGAATGTGGGATTGAATATGAAGGTTTTATATGGTATCCTGTTTACAATAATTTTTGCCAGTTTGGAATATGTGCAAAGAAAATGTTGAAGTTCTTAGCCTGTATGCATGACTGAACTTACCGTTCTCGAGGTATGACCATTTGACTTTACTATCATTTGCTCAATAACAAGAGCGAATATCCAAAGCATCTAAATTTAAACCCGAAAACAAACCTTATTTGCAATTTTGTTCTAAGTTATTTAATGGTTCCTGTAATAGTTTTTTCGTACTTTGCTAAAGACATTCCTAATTTTGATAAAAATTTTGTTTGTTTTGTCTGCTGTTGAAAATGAAACGGTAGCACCTTTCTCAATCTCTTTCTCTTAAAGTCCAGGCGTGTTTTTATAGAATTTTTATTCCATTTGTACCTTACGATGTTTGAATTGTGTTCCTTTTGATACACTGTAAAAATTTTTAGAGAAAGTTAGCAGAAGCAATGTCTACCCAATGACAACTGACTATCGACGCAGACACAAAAAAGAGCGCTATATTTGAATTCCCCGTACTCAAGAGTGGACTCTTCTCCTTTCACCGAACAAATGGACTTATAAAAGTGGCTGATCTTCGCGTTTACGTCGACTGGTATTTTTATTCTTACTTGTTTCATGTTCCTTATAGTACAAAAAAAAACAGTTCCCCTTTCCGTCTACCTGTCTGTGTCAATTATTTTCGAAATATGTTTCTTGTGTTCTGCTAAGAATCGAAGCTTACTTTTAACAATTCGCACTTATTCTTTGGACTCACACCAAGACGCTTTGTAGTAATTGGCACTGGAGTTCGACTTCTACATTACACACATCTACAATTTAGTGCGGGAACAGATAGCTGGGTGTTATTGCCGTTTAAGTTTTTATGTAATCACCAATTTTATTGAGGTTATCCCTAAATAGTTCGCAGTGAGGGCTTGTTATCCGGGATGAATTAGCAGGTTTACGAGCTGAATTACTAAAATGTGGAAATATGAACACTTGCTGCACAGTGTACACATTTTGGCTTTTTTTAGTGCATATACGCATAATTTAAGAAAATTTTTTGTTTCTAACTCCACCCTTTATGCACTGTAACGATCCACTTAATGTGTTATCATTTCACACTCTCCTCTCAGTCTTGTGTGGGATTTAAAAATTATTATTTAAAATCAATAAAGCCAGGCTAATAATCTCCAACTTCATCATTAAACCATTCACATTATCCTTTTATGTCCTCTGTGGACATTCGAAGTTCCAGTGCAACAACTACCCTCACCTTTCGGTATTCTCTTTTGTATTATTCTCTCAATTCAGTCATTTCAGCAGTCGATCGCTCGCCGTTAGCCAGACTTTAAAGAATAGTCCAATTGTCTCTCCCGACAGCAATGAAAGAAAATGACCGCTCACAATATCGACTCCGATCAATTCCGTTGCCAAAGTTGGCGATTTGCGGGTACTTGATGACTCTAATAAAGCTTCCAAACAGCCAAAAACGGTTAAAACTTTCACGATAGTAAAGCTCGATGCAGCCGTGTCAGTTCTTCAATTGCCTTTATCGCGCAAATTCGTTACGTGCTCTCCTATGTTTTAACGGTGTCTTAAATGAATAAATCAGGGAACATAGCGCTAAGGAGCTAGTTTTGGCTGGATATCTTCTTCGAATTTTATACTTATCTGAAGGTAGTGTTCTATAAAAAATAGCAGTTGCTTTTCGAATTTCATTCTCTTATCTAAAAATAGAGTTATTTGTGACAAATTAAATTTGCTGTTCTTTTCCAAACATTGACAGACAGTACAGATACATAGGACAGACTGACGGAAACGGGATACCGATATGTTAAATTTCTGCATGTCCACGCTACGATTTTGAATCCATCATCTCATTTAGAAATTCAGCTCATAACTCTGGTTATGAATTTTCCCTTTCAATAGAGCCAAAATTGACAAAAATAAACACACATAAAGCTCAGTGTAAATGTGTCATTTCTTGGATATCTTTATCCGCCAATTCGTTACGTGCCTTCCTAGATCTTAGCGCGCTTTGAGTGAATAAATCAAGATGGAGGTCACGACGGGACGGCTAATCTTGGCCATATTGTCTTTGAACGAGGAGGCACTGTTGGATGTTGTCATTAAGATTTGTCTGCTGACGTTTATGATCGCAAGTTATTAATGGCAGTGGGAGCTTTTTCGTACACATATTGCGATATAAAAAGACATGTGTGGGTTTGGGGAAGAGTTGGTAGAAGGGAGAAAAGGGGATAGTAAACGACAGGATTGAAGAATTACATTGGGGTTGTAAGCTAAAAGTTGTTTAGAGAAAAGTGATATTTAAGTGAGTTGTCAATAGGAGGAGTGACGTTGACAAGTTGGGTTTTGAGGAATGTTTGGATGTGCAGGGAAACGTTCTGTCAAGATATGTATGTACAAGAGTCGAGTCAAGTTGGCTATTTGAACCAGCTAATGGTGAGGTAGTTAGCATAAATATCTCAGTAATAAATGTTTTATTACAAAGGGGAGGAATAGAAAACTGTAGATAAAAGTGCGTATGTAACATGGGAATTAATGCATCATTATCGCACAATTTGCATATCGAATTCGTCTAACTACCCACTAGTTGCTTTAATAATTATCGTTGTTAACTAGTTACTTGAATATGCTATATTACGATATGTTTTATGAAAGCGGCGATTTTCTCAAAGTTCCCTTTAATGAGAAAAGTTTCAAGAAAATTTACAGTCGGATTTTATCTTTCCAAAAAATAAAAATACGAGCGTTCGATACTTATTAGTGCTTTTTAGACTTATTGCTTTTTTATTAGGGAAGCTCGGGGGGATTATAACGAATATTGGAAATCTTATCTCTGTAGAAATGTGAAGGATCAGCCAGATTACGTAAATGTGAGAAAATAAAGTACGGGTAGGTAATTTTAAACTTTTATATTTATTGAAGCCAGCTTTTGAAGGAATGTACAGATATAAAAACTGAAATTATGTTGTATAAAAGTTATAGAAATACCTTAAAATATCGATAAGAGGATAAGATATGTGTGGATATTTTATTTTTAATGATTGAAATCTAATTATCTTAAGAATCATTTAAAGAGTGCGATTTAAGACAATCGGAAAAATTAGCCAGTGTACTTCGTGTTTTGAAATCAAAGTGTTGGACCATGTTCGTTATGGTACAGAGATGACAAAATTCGGCTAAAGAAAATGTTGATGATTTTTTGCAAAAATCTGGATGTCTGGGGCAAAAACTCAAGGCCGATTAATAAATCACAAGTACTGAAGTATGTTATTTTCTAAATTTAAATACCATTTGCAATGCAAAATTTTATGATGACTTCTTCAAATTTTTGGTGCGGATGATTGATAAATGTTGTGTAGACCACAGATGACAGACTACAGACAGAGAGACGAAAATATTAAATAACCTACTTTGATACAATCTGCTTTTTACTGCATCTCATTTCCAACGTATAAAGTCGGGAGTGTTTTTAGTACGATTTATAGAGATTTGTAAGTTGAAAACAGTGCCAGTGGTGAAAACCGCGTTCCAAAATTTTCGTAAACAGTTCGAAAGAATATCTTGATTATTTTTTTACAAGTAAATATACGTTTGTAGAGGAAGAGGAATTATTAAAAAAAAGAATACACACCGGACAAACCTATACTCAAATTTAATGAAATGTAGGTAACTTAAATATACCATTTCAAGAGCGATGTTTATTTTTCCACTCATCCATCTAATCCCAATCAGTAATCACTTTTAAAACAAATTTCATATCAGGTGAGCAAGCTTGTACTACTTTGGGTAATGAAAGTACAAACCCACGAAAAAACCAAATGTAATCACAACATTGCGTGAGATATCCCGACAGTAAAACTCAAACGCGTAGAAATAATTACGAAATGAGCAAATTGGCAAATTTTAATTTCGCTGGGAATTTAAAAAAACACATAAAATTTAGTTTTACGATTAAAGCTTCGAAACGTTCATGTACAGTTGAATTTCTCTCCGAAACTCTGGCATTTTTCTGCGCCCTAATTGAAGCACCATAAACAGCTTTTACACCTCATAAACTCAGCGTGCAAAATGAAGATAAAATCCAAAGAGGCCGGGATAATTATCGAAGCGGAGACCAAACGCAACACCAGCAGAAAAAAGAAAAGTGCACCGAACAAACAAAATCTCCAAGTTAATAACTCGTTTCGAGATGAAAAATTTCCATTTTAAATCTGAAAGAGATGGATCGATAGGGATTTTTCTCATAAACTCGGCACGCAAATTATCTCTCTGTGTAAATGCTATCATAAAAAAGCCGTGTTTGCGGAAATTTGCTCCAATACCGCGCGGGAAGGGTTAACTGTAATAATCATGATTATAGCAAAACTAAAGGTTAAAGTCGAAAACAGCCCTCCCAAACATGGGTCCAATAATAATTTGAGTGATTATGATTATAGTATAAACAAAACCTCAGACGCCAGTCGTAAATAAAAAGCTGCCACGGCAAAACAAAGTTCAACAACATTCACTTTTCACCAAATAAAAATAAATTAAATTCATTTAATTATATCCTCAGGCACAGATTTTATCAAAAAATCTTAATAAATTAACCTTTAAGTAAGTGCTTTTAACATTTTTTTTTTTTTGATAAAGTGTGAAATTTTCTGCAGGGTATTCATCGATTTTGGCAAGGAAACTTCACATTTTTTAAACCATTCCTCTTTTAAATCCCAGGTACATGCTGTTTTATTTATATTTTTCGGGTCATGCTTGGGATTTTTAGATTCCAAGCTGTAACGTTGTAGTAGACCGCGTAATTTTTTAAATTTCTGCTCTAGTTACTCACGACGCCTACAAACATCAGCTGTGAAACCTGTTGCAGAAATTATGGCTACGAAGCAATAGTGTGGAGATGATCGTTGTTTTATGCTGCTAAGTGGCAACTAATTATAACATATAATAAGCATTTGTTATTATTATTAATATTATTATTATTATAACTTACGAGGTCCCACAGGTTAAAACCCAATTACGGAACATGCATCAATCGATCTAATTACTTTGGAAATTGAATTAAATAAATCCACGTTGTTTTGCTCTGTTTCCCAATATCACAGGATTTTATACATTGGTGAAAAGCGTAGAAAATCTGTTTTCGGTGTGTACGTATAAAATAATTGTGGATTTCTGGATGTAAAGAAATTAATTTGACGTAATAATTCAGGAAGGATAATTTTGGAATTTAGAATTTTATGAAGGAATACGATATTAGAAATTTTGTCTCTATTCAAAATATGTAAAATGGAAAATCTCTCAAGCAATAAAGATAGCTCGTAGGCAATGGGAGGATAGAAATGGCCTTCCCTAAAATAAAGGTACTTTAGAAATCTTCTGTATTCGGGTCCAGACTGGCTACATTGCGACGAAATTCCGGTGAGACGGGACGGAGCCGATCCGGAATTTCGTCGATAACGAGTGGGGGCGGCGTGCCTCGGTCTCAAGCCTTGGGCTAACTAGTGCCGCTCACCCAGAATCACGTCTGGCCGATCTAGGCTTACGCGGATACTTTCACGCCACCGGGGGTGGCGCCTTAAGTCAGGAGCGGCGGTCGCTCGGCCGCCAGCTCCCTCTCTGGGGTAAGGAGTACCGGGGTTGCCCCCAAGCCGGAGACACGGATCTCCAGGTGGTGAGTGCCCGCGAAAATAAAATAAAACGGAAAGAAATATTTTACAATAAATTGGGTTTATTCCCTGCCACCCGCTACACGCTATACTTCTATAGTAATGGCTCGTTTAACGAAAAAGAATGTACGAGGGGAAAGTTTTGAGCGTTAAACTTGGATTTGGGTTAGGTTTGATTTCACGTTTGATGCAGTGAGTTTTTTTTTATTTGACGAACTTTGCATGAAATGAAGTTTTAATGATTGTTGTTTTGTTTCAGGTAAGACGCGGACTCCGTAGGCATTCAAGGACCCTTTCCGTTAGTGTAGCCCAGTTTGTTGTTATGTTATGTTCGTGGAGTCTTTGTTGGCAAGTAAAGGTGTTTTTATTTCTTCAAAAGCAGTTCGAATGTTTTCTTTGAAAACAATCTTTGATGTTTCCGAAGCGGTTAGTTTGTGAAATGCGATTTCTTTGGTGACTTAACGTCAAACCTACACCAGATTTAATAAGTCTAAGATATACATGTATTATGTAAAAGTGATAAATATCTCTACATTACTGCTCCATCGAAAGCAAAAAAAAAAAAATAATTGAAAAATGATTATCATTGTGAGAGGTTAAATAAGTTAGTTAGTTGAAGGTATTTCTTAAATTTAAGATAAAATCATAGTTTATTACAAACTGTAAACACTAAAGAATAATGTATAAAAAACGAATAAGACATGAACCCTGCAATACCTCAAGTTCCATTCCGTTCTATTACTTCCGTTAGTTTTGTCGACTATGCTAATATAGTTGCCAGAAATTGTTGGCAAATAAAGAGGTTTCCATTTCCAGAAAACCACTTAAATCTTTTTTTTGACAACAGCCTTATGTAGCGCGCTACTGATGCAAGAAAACATGTAAAATGGATCATGTAAAATTGATCTGAGTCGTCTTATAACATCAAAACGTTTGAACCAAGGTAAGGTAGCATCACTATTAGAAGTTCTGTTCCTAATAGCTCCGAATTCTGCTAAGTATTTTTCGATGTTTTGGTGGCCACTCAAGGTAGCTCGTCCAAGTGCTGTGTAACCACTATAAGTAGCCCGATTGATTTCGGCTTCGTGTTTTACTAGGCATTCGACAGTTTTTTGGTAGCCATGTGAGGATGCTACGATAAGCGGTGTCCAACCATTATCATCAGCTCGGTTGATTTCGGCTCCGTATTTCAGTAGACATTCGACAATGTTTTCGTGGCCGTCCGAGGAAGCTGCATAAAGCGGTGTCCGACCATTATAATCAGCACGATTGACTTCGGCTCCGTTTTCCACTAGACATTGTACAGTTTTTTCATGTCCGTTCACTGAAGCTATGTAAAGTGGTGTCCAATCAAATGTATTAGCAGGTTCGATTTCGGCTCCGCATTTCACCAGACATTCGACAATTTTTTCCTGGCCCTTCGAGGAAGTCATGTAAAGCGGTGTCCAACCATGCTTATCAGCGCGATTGATATCAGCTCCATATTTCACTAGGCATTTGATTGTTTCTTCATGACCGTTCACCGAAGCTACGTAGAGCGGTGTCCAGCCATTTTTATCAGCGCAGTTGATTTTGGCTCCGCGTTTCACCAGGAATTCTACAATTTTTTCGTGGCCATTCGAGGAAGCTGAGTGAAGTGGTGTCCAACCATTTTCATCAGCGCAATTGACTTCGGCTCCAGATTTGACTAAGTCCTCCACAACTGCTGCATTTCCTTTTAGGGAAGTTGCTATAAGAAGCGGCTGAAAATAGAATTTATTAATAAAATTTACGCCTTCATAAGTCCTCAATCTGTTAGTTAGAACTAGTTTAACTGTTCGTCGTATCCAAACCAAGCAGAACATTATCATAAAATAAATCGTAATTAAAAATTAGTAATCAAAATAAATTTGACAACGTGGTGTGTGCCGATCCAAACTGACAATACCTGTAGTGATGAAGAAGTATTCTCTGCAGCTTGTGAAGTGTGTAACTGACTACTGTTTCCTTGTTCATGTACTTCGTAGTGGTTGAAATCCATGATGACAACGTTGAAGAAGTCTGTTAAAAAAATAATAACTGATAAATTTTTTATTCTTTTTGAAAATGGAGAAAACTTGTGTATTTTAATATGGACAGCAGAAATATTATAATAAAAAAATAAGAATCATTATAACACTACTGAAAAGAAGCTTCTATAAAATTTATAATTCTTCACCAAAAAATTATTGACGCCATCCGAACAGTTATTCAATGCCTTGCTTAGTAAGCCTAGCGTCATCGTTTTTCGAGTCTAGTTAGTAAATAATTATCAATCGGGATTGAGTTAATTCATAAACCTTCCTAATGAAGAGAAATGGGAATGGAATGAAGACACGGAAGAATTGGCTGATGTAAAAATTGGTCGAAAGTTATTTCAACAGGACTTCCCTCGCCCCCGAAGTGCAATGCAACAAATCCCGCTTCTTTAAAAAAAAATTGATTTCGCGAATTTGTATTCATGATAACCAGAGTTAGGCATAGTGATGGGGAATCAATCAGACAAATATTAAATACGACGGCGCGACGTCAGGCGATAAATGTGGTTGGCCAACTGTGCACACTCTTCATCATCAGTGGCGTTTGATGCAGGTCAGTGTTTATTTGATCAAAATCATCACGAAAATTGTGATGTTGAACAGTCACTTTTAATTTTTAAAGCAATTTTAACATCTGGTACAACTCGTATAACTGAGGAAAACCTAGAAAATGTAATAATTCTTATTAAGTTGTAGGCCACGACTGGCGATCGGACGGCAATGAGGATCACTTCCGCTATGCCGAAAACTGGTGATAACCTGTATACATTAAAATAAATATGGATAAGTAATACCAGTAATCGCCCAAGAAAGTAAATGACATCATATAAATTCGTTTTGATACCCCATAATGTTTTTTTTTCTCTACCACATATCATTTATTTTTTTATGACATGCTATACATTTTTTTAGAGATCTTGTAGAGCTTGTTTTTTGAAATCATTAATGCATCATAATTTAATCACCTACACCCCGCATTGGAACACATTATGTTAGAAAAATACACTTGTTTATTTGGTCGACAACTCCGGAGTGACCTATACTTGTATGTAGTGGCGATTTTCCCATTTAGAAATAACACTAAGGTGTAGATTTTAGACATTTGAACAATGAAACAATTACAGGAATAGGTATGCTATTTTATAAAATTTAAATCTTACCTAGCATTCATGAAAAATTTTGAGATGTCATGACATTGATAGAGACAGAACAATACTTCCTTCGCTTACCCCCGGGAGGTAAAACAACGAAGAACGTTACACAAAAACTAAATTAGAAATATAAAAGGACAGAAAATTATGATGACGAAAAAGCGAGAAATAAAGACATAAACGGAAAAAGAGTAAACAAAAAAAGGGATAGTGCAACAACAAATACCAACTCTTAAAAAACACGTAAGGAAGATACTCAAAATAACAGAAACGAGAAAGAAAGTTTAACGATATGTAGCGATAGGGAAATGCCACGTGATGATATACAGTGGAGATAACAAGAAGGCACAATCAGGAGTGAGCTTCATAATTAACAAGACATTAAGAAATGGAATAAGAGAATGGACAAGTATAAGCGATCGAATAATAAGATTTTAAAATTGAAATAGAAAATGGACCACTTGAAGGAGAGACAAAGAAAGATAATAAAACATAATAATAAATAGACCAATTACTTTGAAACAAAGGACAAAAATAAACCGAAAATTAGAAGCTTTTTTAATGCTGATATATGAGATTGGGACGGGAAAGTTTGAAAATTCCGGGAAGAAACTTAAAATAATAACGGACAGAAGATAATAGAATACTGTACCTTGAGTAATATCATACTGGGTAATACAGTCTTTCAACATAATAATACACATAAGTATGGAAGAATAGTGACAAGTAGGAGAGAGAAGTCGATATCAGATCTGGTATGAATTAATAGAAGAAAAAAAATTGAAAATAATGAAGGATGTAAAACTAAGAAAAGGGTGTGAAATTGGGAGCTACCACTAAAGAAAAAGAGCAAAGGCAGTAGAATTTGTAAATAATTATAAGAGCCGATAGACTGAAGTATCAAAAACCAAAGGAAGAATACCAGAAGAAAATTACAGAAGAAAACAAAACAAAGAAAAATTTATTAAAATGGATTGAGACGAGCTATGCAAAACTTTTAAAACTGTAGTCACAGAAGCGACGACTGAAGCGTGCGGAATCAACAGGAATACGAATAAGAGACCAACAGTCTGTTGGAAAAACGATATAAGAAAGGAGTTAAAGAGAATAAAATTCTTTAGAAGAAATGCGTAAATAACAACAGGAATATTGACGACTATGACTACCTTACTTTAAAAGACAAAGAAAGTTAAAATAGCAGCGAAAGCAAAAGCATGGGAAGAACTCGGAATAAAGACCGAAAAATATGCAGCAGCTAACGTAAAGACGTTATACCGCACACTGAAAAATCTAAGGAACAAAAAAAAAACTATTGGAAACATGAAAAAAGAGAAGGAGATTGTAGAAGGAGACAGAGTTATAGTAGGATTGAAGGAATATTTAGGAGAACAATTAAAAACAGGTGAAGAACAGAAGGTTGAAATACAAAAAGAAAACTTGAAAGAAGAGGAAACGGAAATCGAAATAAATATGCTGCTAAAATTCATTATTAAGGGAACTAAAGTAGGAAAGCGCCCAGGGATAGACAATATGAGGCCAGAAATGATAATGCACATAGGAGAAAAAGGACACTAGAAACAGCATGGAAAACCAAAAACAGAGTGGAAAACTAATAAAATACCAACGGAATGGAACTAAGACCGGCAGAAATGTGTGAACTACTTTACGCGGATGATTTGATTTGATTTTCCAAATAACGGAACGGAATTAAAACAGAATAGAAAGGTGGTCACAAGAACTAGAAAAATATAACCTAAGAATAAACACAGAGAAATCAGAAATAGTGACAACCGCAAATGAAAAGGTCAAGACGGAAAAAGATGTACAGGGAGAGGGAATAAGAGAATTAGAAAAAAGAAGATATCTGGAAGCTACAACAGACATAAGAAAACAATTCGAAAAAGAAATGATGAACAAAATAAACAGAACTACAACAATATACACAACACTATATTACCAGTTCTTTACAGGAAAGGGATATCCCAAGATACAAAAGTAAAGGTATGTGAGCCGGTTTTAGTGGCAACGCTCATTTACGAAAGTGAATCATGGGTTTTAAAAGTAAAATTATGGCGTGTGAAATGAATATCTGGATAAAGTAAGAAGTGAAAAAATACGATAAGATCTAAAAGTGAAAAACATAAACAAATTGAGTCAAATCAAACAGATGGTTCGGGCATGGTAGTGAGAGTGGACGAAAACAAAACAGTGAGAGTGTTATGCGAAATGGCGATAGCCGAAAACAGAATGGAATGATGAAATAACTGACATAATAAAGAGGAAATCGAAGAACTGGACTCAGCGAAACAAGATGGTAAAAATAGAGACAAAATAATGGTGACTTTGGCTCTCTGTCAGTTTCAGTTTTTCCAAAAAAAAAACTATGATATTTTAATGCTTCCATTTTTGCCACTTCTTATAATGAAAAATTGTTCTAAAAATCACTGTAAGTTTAAAAAATATGTGTAAATTATTAAAGTAAAAGTAAGGAAGCATGCTTTGTATATATTTCAAGTGAATTTTGTCATAACAAAATTTTGTGATGGTGTCATCAACATTTTAGCAATTGCATGTACACATATCAGTTTAAATAGGTACAGTATAACACTACTAATACTAGTGCTATACACTCAAATTATTTGAACAATAAAATGATATCCTCATTCACTATTTTTTTTGAGTTATTCCGAGTAAGTAGTTCTAAAAAATATGAAAGCTTTGATAATAAACGACAACTATAGACTGATAAGATTTTGGAAAATTTAGGTAGGCTTTATTTGCCAAAATTCTGAGATGAAGTCATTAATTTTTTGGAGACGATAAACGAATAAATTTTGATTAACGATTGATGCCTACGATGGAACTTAAAACGTTTGCAAGATTCGATGTTGCAGTTCCACAGTAAAATTCCAAAACGTTAGAAAATTTTGTTTTTTTTTTTTTAAATCTGAATGGCTAAGACAGAAGGGTAATAATTGAAAACGGATTCATGAGGAAGGAAAAATACTCGTTTATTATAAGTGTAATGTACAACTTACCAATTAGGAAGTTCACCTATTTTTGATACGTATAATCACAAAACATATTTGTTTAAAAAAATATCTTGTAATCACAACCATACTTTACAATTATCATTCCGAATTTGTTAATCATGAGTGCTCCTTAAATACGCGCTATTCTAAAAGGGTGGGGTTAACATATCTGATAGTAAGTTACTGTTATCAAAACCAACACGATATGGGAAATCCGATTTTTTTTTTGCTTTTTACTAAATACTTACGTTATCTCACTTTTTTAATTCAATAGTTTTCGTCTGTTTATCATGTAATTTTTGTCAGTGTTATTCGGAGATATGTCCATATTACTAAAATTGTTCCGAAATTTTAAATGTATTTCAATCATATATCTACTGTACACGGAAAAACACGAACCAAAATTGGTTCGATTATTCTGTTTTAAATGTGAAATAATATTGTTTCAATGCGACTCATTTATTAATTCATCCATAATTTCACTTGATCGTACGTTAAAACAACATTCAAAACTACAACCCAACAAAATTTTGCAGTTTAACTTAAAAGCTATAGAATCGATTCCTTTAAAAATTTGTCCTCGCTCATTCATTCATAAACCACAAGTATAAGGGTATGTTATTTTATAAAATTTAAACAACATTTACTATGCAAAATTTTTAGACGACATCATCAAATTGTTGGTGGGGATAATCAAATAAATTTTTGGTTAACGTTTTACCATCTACACATCAGTCAAGAAATTTCAGAAATTATCTGTCCAATAAAATAAACTAGGTGTAGTAACGAACTCCTACAAAATACGTTAAGTGTCCAACAACACTAGATTTTCCCCTCAAACTTCTAAAATTAAAACGATGTTCTGGTCTGTCTAAACGCTTTCTGTGTTAAAACGCACAAGAATCGTGATATCGGCCATTATCGACGAAAGTTTAGATTAAATGTTTGCTGTGGATAAGGGTCATTTAATATCCCCGGAAGTTGAGGAAAAACCCCGCAGCAGCACATTCACGTTCCATATTTTGAAAGTAGTTTCATAGAAAAGTTTATTCCTCACGACGTTTCTGATTAGTTTTCTCGGTCAGAGGGTGTGCGCACATAGGTTACAACGTCTTCCAATCTGAAACTTCTTATTAGTTCCATCAAGTTGGAACGGAATCATCCGCCTCCTCCCATGTGGGAGCTGGAAAATATGTAAAGTCGAACCCTTGCCACATAAACAGCAACCGACAACTTAATGTCGTCTTCAGGTACAGCTTTCAGAAGCTGTAATTAGGTTAATCGAAAGTTTAGAGGGGGTGTTTTCGGCAGTTTGATGAGCTTTATTTGGCTGGGCATCGGTGCGGCGCAAACGATGCTCGTGTGAACAGGTGGCGTCTTTTCAGTTTTATTGTTGACGGGGTTTGGATTAGATTTTGCAACTCATCTCGGTTTAAGTTTCGTGGGTTTCGGGGGAATAATTGATGAGTATTGGTTTTTGGCGTGTTTGCTTTTACTGGAATAGCGAAAACCACACCCCGTCAAATATTTAAAGAGAATGAATTAGTTATGAAGAATGGGAAAAGACTTCGACCACTGAACACACGAAAACATATGTATGCTAACTAATGCAATTATAACGACTGTTGAAATAGGTTTTTTTTATTTTTTTAAAGAAAAATAACATAAATGTTTCGATTTCGCCATTTCACGCCTTAAGCTCCTCCTACTGCTTTTATGATACTTGATGAAAGTGTTCCAATCAGAGTGAGCCACAGATATTTCTGTGGCTCACTCTGATTGGAACACTTTCATCACTACACTTTCTCACTAAAAATATTTTTTTAGTGAGAAGAAGGAAGAAAGTTCTCTGACATGCTGACATTTATTAATCAAGAAATCGATGACGGTGCACTTTTATTTCTGAATTTTTCGTGGTAATTAAGTTATTCAATTTTGGTGAACTGGCATTGTATATATTGAGCTGATTGAATGATTTAACATAATGTATTAGATACTTTGTCGATCCTAAGTTCTTTAAAACAGTTCAGTTCTTTAATGATGCACTGGAATTACAACTCGTTTTACACACTTTATATGACTGACCACACTCGTCTTCATTTTGTGATAACCCAAACATTCCGCCTTAAATTGACATTGGCCTCGGGTGCGATCATTCAACAAAATGGCACCCTACATTATGACTTTTTTTTATACCGCTAAATAAAACACAAAATATATGGAGGACACAAAATCATTTATTCCTCCACTGACAAAAAAAAAACAAAAAAAAGCTGCGACTATGTTCCGCAGGTTGAAGGCCTTCGTAGTTCTCAGCTACAAAAAAAAACTTGCCTAACTTTGAATGCAAACAAATTAAACGTTCTGAATCAATGCAGATATTTGAATGCCACAAATTTAATAAAAACAAAGAAAAATCTGAATTACAGTAACTGGATGCAAATACACAAGTTATTACGGACGTGTGGCGGCAAATTTAAATTTATGGTAGTCAATAAGATAACAAAATTTTGATAAAACTCTATGCAGCGACACCAGAGCGCTATAAGAGTGTGGCGATCGAACTATATCAACTTCATTCTACAGCACAGCAAAATTACCCATAGAGGGCGTTGTAGCACGAGCTCAGTTTGAGGTTCCTGGTTGTGGCTGTTCTCCCACCACGACATTGATTCTAATCTATCGGCAAGCAAGTGCCGCCCAGCACTCGTCTACCTAACCAAGAAACGTGCCATGCTAACAAGCCGTTACGGTCGCAAACTCGTGGTTGTAAATGACGGCTATAGATAAGCTGACAGCGTCACGTCATCTCGACCGCTCCCCTGACTTCTATTCATATCGCTCTATTCTGCATATTTCATGCAGATGGAGCGATAGCCAGCTCGACAAGGAACCGCACACTCTGCTTCCGCTACGTGTTTCTGTTATTTAACCTAAATTCTACTTAAATGTTCAATTTCTATGACTGTGATATTAAACTACAACCGAACAAGTGTTAAAGTTTCAAAAAGTGCAATAAACAACATTTAAATTCGCCATACACTCTCGTGAAATTTGAAACGGCAAAGCTGAGATTAAGATTGGATATCAGACAATTTATATGATGGAAGCATTAATCAACAAAAAATTTTCAAAAAAAGTTCCAAATCTGTTAAAGCTTTACTGGTGGAAGCCATATTTTCCTTTGCTGAAATGAGTGACAATAGCAGTAACATCGGGTCAAAATAAATTATGTCAAGTTACTAACTATACTTTGAAAAATATATGCAACACGAACTCACTAACAATAGTTATAAAGCTATTGAGGCGCACGTACTGATGTGGCCATTTTTTCACTTAAAACAACGCATCCGAATTACAATTGGTTCGCTCGCGACCCAGTGTTACCGTGGAGTTAATATTTGCCACACTTTATCAACGATTCAAACAAAGAATTTACATGATGTTAAATTATGCCACACTTTATCAATGGCTCAAAGAATTTACATGATGTTAAATGGTGCCACACTTTATCAACTGTTCAAACAAATAATTTACATGGTGTTAAACTATGCCATGATCCAAGTGACTGGCTACTTAAAATAATTAGCTTCGAGAGTTTATATCGTGGACTGTCCCCAGCTTATCCCACACAAAATACATGATAAAAAAAGCACAAAATGCAACCCGCGTTGCTAGAAATATGCGTTCCGATGATATATTTTCTCACGTGGCGAGAAATATATCTCGATGATATTGTACGATATTATGAATTCTATCGCACTTTCATGGTTCTTTTCTCAGAGTGGGACTTTTGGTTAATTTTAATTGTCGTAATAGAACTATTAACAACCTTGTGTACGGAATTAAGAAGTGTTATACTAGTAACGTTATTCATAATTTCATAAACAAATGATGACTAAGTGAATCACATGAAAACTCCTAGCAAGTGCGTTATCTGAACAATCTCATGACTGTTAAATTTTGTTAGAACCAGTTAACTATTAAAATTCTAACATGAACTGTGAATCTACAAACAACAAAACAAATTTACACCACGTGTTGGCATCGGTCGAAAATTCGCATATTTCCGCTTGGAAAAACCGCAAGAATTAGCTGAGAATTGGTGTACAGTCCTGTCACGTGGTACTTTAATGCCATGGTAAAAATTTAAATGCAGTCGTCAACTTAATTGAGCTTCTATAAACCCGTCCAATTTTTAAAAACTGGATATATAGCGTAAATTTGAAGAAAATTTATTCGGCCATTTTGTAAGATTACGTCATCATTTTTTGGGTGGGGGCGTAAACTGATAAATTTTGATCAACATTACTTCCAATAACCTTAAAATATTTGCAAAATTTTACAGCACTAAGTTTTACAATTTTAAAGTTAAATTGTAGAATGTTATAAAATTTTGATCTTTTTTTCTCAAAATCTGGATGTCACACCTGCAGGAATGTTTATTCCATAAAATTTAAAGAACAGTTATTCATAAATGGAAAAATTTTATCAACGATTTACCATGTTATTTTTAAAATTTAAATAACAATTTCAACAATTGGGGATGATTACAGAAATATTAGTTAGCGTTTCACCATCTGCAGGATATTGCTAATACACATATAAAATTTTACAACAATCATTCCAGTAGCTTCAGGAATTATCTGTCTAACTAAAATCCGGACTGCTGTAGAGTTCATATCTTACGCTCAGTAAAAATCATCTTTTCTTAGCGACAATAGGAGAAAAAGTTTCTATCTGGTATTGCGCGTCAAAAACTCAAGGCGAATTCATAAACCACAAGTACAAGAATATACCTATATTACTATATAATCGTGAAATTTTTGTTATTGTTTTATTATTTACACTATATTCCTATATACATATAGATATAATATTTGAGTACAAACAGTTCAGTAATTTCAGAGATTATCTGTCTAATAAAAATCGACGCAGGAACACGGAAACTCAAGACCTACTTTTTCCCCCTCTAACGATCAAGAAACTTCGAGGAAACAGCGTACTCGAGAAATGAAAAGCTAAAATGGCACGTGTTGACAAAAAGAAGATTTTATGAATAAACACAGATTGGTAACCATATTCTGAAAAAAAA